ACTAACTTTTTCATTCAATATATTTTAAACTTTCTTCTTTTATTTTAACAAATAAAAGTCAAAAAAACAATGAATAAAAAATAAATTTCCTTTTTGTACAAACAAAAAATTGTTGGATTTTATAAAAATTAAATGTTTTTTCTTTCCTTTCTCATTGCTTTTTTTCTTCTCATCCATTTTCATTATTAATTAGCATTAATTAAACAATTCATCATCCTAATTTATTATTCATAATTCATTTAATCACTTGTTAATGCTAATTAATAACTAGTTCATTATTTATAATACCGTATATTTATATATGCGTGTATGTATCGTGAATGAAATTATTATTGTCTCTTTTTCCTTTTTATTTTTTTTTAAAAAAAGAAATTCATTTTTTATTGTTCAATAAATAATTCATTATTCTGATTAATCATTACGATTAATTTAATTACTCGTTAATACTAATTATTAACTAAATTCATTTATTATATGCGTTAGAATTATCGTTTTACGTTACATACACATATTATAGCTGAAAATAATTTATTCTATAAAAAAGAAAAATCTTCATAAAAGTATTTTGTTTTTTTTTCCTTTATTGATTATAAAATTACCTGTAATTTCGTTTTCTAATAATCGAGTAAAATAGGAAAAGTGAGAGAGAGAGAGAGAGAAAGAGGGAGACAGAAAGAAAGGGAGAGAGAGGAAGAGAAAAGAACGAAGATAAATGTAAATAGCATGAAAAGAAGAGAGAAAAGGCAAAAAAACAAAAGAAACACCAAATATATTTGAAAAAAAAAATTTTCTTTTTTTTTTTTAAATTTAAGAAATTCATCAATAATACGACTAAATTCATTGTGACAATTATTGTTGGAATGAAAATTGACACATGCAATAACCGGTTTTAATGAAAAAAAAAAAAAAGCTAAGAAAATAATAGCATAATGTCTATTGTATTGATTTGTTTTTTTTTTTCCATTCAATAATCTTTTCCGGAAGTATTGGAAGTATTCATTGAAAAGGACGAAATTTTCGTTTTTTTTTTTTTAAAAAAAAACAATCAAAAAATAAATAAAATATTGCTACCAAATTATTTACATTCAATTCGTTTTTTTGAAAAAATCAAAATTTTCGTGCAATTTTATTGTCCTTTTTTTCCTTTTTTTTTTAAAAAAAGAATTAATTTTAAAAATTTTATTTTATTGAAAATATTTGTGTGTGAAACAAAAAAAAAATCAACAATGAAATTAGTTGAAAAGGAAGGAAAGAACGAAATAAATTGGCTAATATAAAAAGTATAAAATAATTTTAAATTTTTATTGAAAAAAAAAGAATGGGAAAATTGTAAAGGAAAAATTAACTGAAAATTTTAAAGAAGAAAAAATATTTTGTAAAAAAAAGAAGTGATTGAGTCAAAAAATAAAAAAATAAATTGAACAAAATAAAAATTAAAAAGTAAATATATACTTATCATTGTAAGTTTTGTCGTTACTTTCTCTACGTTTTCTAAAAAAAAAAATTGCTAAATGAAAAAGTCAGCGATATGCTAACGTTAGCATATTACTTTATGGTTTTACTAATATAGTTTATATGTCAACATTAATTAAGATAATTTATGTCACATATAACTAAGGTATAATGTTGATCATTTAAAAATTAATTTGTGCAAAAATTTTCATATGTATGTAATCATTTTTACGTGTAATATACGTATGATCATTTTTTGGACGTTTGTTAAACACGTACGCATTTTATTTCATACTTAGTACACGTAAATTTTTTGATGACGGTGATGCTTGTTTTTTTTTCTTTGATACTTTTACGTATATTCTTTCAAATTCTTTTTTAGCAAAAATAAATTTAAAATTTGTCCAAATTTAAAATTTATTTTTATTGAAAAAGAAATAATAATAATAATAATTTCCTCATTGTTGAATAATTTATCGAAATGTCATCAGACAGTCGGACAATTTCAATTCTTTCCATTGCAGTAATGTATCCAATTTTTAATTAAAAAATTTCACATAAAATTTGTAAGAAAAAAAAACAAATTATACCACAAACATAACACTTTACGAAAATTCTCAGTTTTCCATCACAAACCAGAAAAAAAATTAATTAATTTGTATCAAATTTTTCAAAAAAAAAAAGTTAAATTTCTATAATCAAATTTTTTATTGGAATGATTTTTGAGTAGCAAATGATATCATATAACGGGATTACCGGGATTTTCTTCTAACAAGTTTTAATAAATTGAAGATAAACATTTGTTTGCGAATAAAATTTCATTAAGTATTTATATCGTGAAAAAAAATTTTATTCGATATTTATATCCTAAAATATTTATGTACTAAAATTACTCATTTGGTATTTTGTTGTAAAATTAATGAATTTGCATATTTTAACGAGAAAAATTTGCAAATTTAATGCTTGTTCTGTTCATTGACATTATTATTTTTTTTTTTTAATTTCCTTTAAATTATACAATGTTATTTCAAATAGTAATGATAGCAAATCAAAAAAACTTTTCCTTCCAAACATTCATTTATTAGAAAATGAAAAACAACAATATTTTCTTTTGATCTCTTTGATAATATTACTGCAGTATGAAAAGAAACAAAAAATTTGGAAAGTTAAATTTTACATTTTCTGATTAATTTAAAATTGAATTCATTTGAACTATTTTAAAATTTTTTCACGAGAACTTCATTAATTTTCCAATTATTGTCGATTAATTTTCTAATTAATCTCTTCAATTTTTACCAGCATTCGTTACGAAAAGTTTAAGAAAAATTTATTCCAAAATTTAAGCTAATATAACTAAAATGTTTAAAATTCAATAATACAAATATTCGATAATTTTACGTATTTATAATTAATTAATTAAATTTATTTTCAAAATTATTGAATTTTTTAAATTATTGAATTTTTCCAAAAATATTTCTCATATATTATGACAATATATGTTTGATCCTGAAAATAATGAACGAATTTATCAGTGCATTTTTTTTTCTTTCAATCATTGTTCTCAATTTTTATCACTATTTATTATTTTCATTACCTTATGGGTAATATCATTTAATGATCAAAGTGATAATTGCATAGTGAATACTTACTTTATGATAGGATAAAAACTCATTTAATAAAAAAAAAATTTTCATCTGGTTTTCTTTTTAATCTATATATTATTGATTAATGATTATTGATTAATGATTTTTTTAACTGATCGATTCATTTAATATTTATCGATGTGTATTGTCAGACTTGTTTTTTTGTCGACACAAATATGGTTTAGTATTGTAGGAATTATTCGACGATATATGCATATAATATAGATATTGTAGCATATGGCATATGATATAAATACAATTATAATATATGGATACTGTAGTATGACCATATAACAACATATAAATGTGTCATAGTGATGAAAATACAAATTTAACATACAGTATCGAACATAATAGCATACGGTGCATGCATGATAGATATACATATATTTTTATAATTAAACAATTGTAATGTTTTTTGAACAAAATTAGGATGAATAAAAAAGCCGAAAATATTTTTGCATTAATCATTGTAATTCACAAAAATTACTTAATATTTTATAATTTTCCCTTAGCTTTTTTTTTTTTAACAAAAATAAAAAATAAAAAATTGAAAACTTATTTTGAATGTTATTATTCTTTAAACATACAAATTTATATTAACATTTATTTGTTTTTGAATGAATTATTAGCATTTCTGATATTAATTTCTTGTTATTTTCCTTTCTTTTTTTATATTTAAAATGCAAAAAAAGAAAAAAGGAAATGATAAATATGAGGATATTTCAAATAACAATTAATAACATCACACAATCTTCCCTTAGCATTGATTAGATAACTTTGAGCAATTTATCATTTCTTTGATAAAATTAAATTTATCAATTTTACATAATACTTTTTCACAGTATTTTTTGG